AGATGCTTCTCAAGCAAATCCCAGGATGTCATTCTCCCGTTGTACTTGGCCTTGGTAAGGCTGCAGCTGGAGTACTGCATCCAGTTCTGGGCTCCATAATTCAAAAAGGATGTGGAGAAGCATGAGAGAGTGCAGAGGAGAGCTACGCGCATGATAAGAGGTCATGAACCAGACCTTACGATGAGAGGCTGAGAGCTATGGGACTCTTCAGCCTGGAAAAGCGCCGGCCCAGGGGGGATCTGATGGCCACCTATAAGTTTATCAGGGGTGCTCACCAGGATCTGGGGGAACCTCAGAGCGCCCCAAGTGATGACAAGATCGAATGGTTGCAAACTCCTCCGTGACCGTTTCAGGCTGGACATAATGAAGAACTTCTTTACTGTTCAAGCCCCCAAGGTTTGGAATAGACTGCCGCCGGAGGTAGTTCAAGCGCCTACCCTGAACGCCTTCAAGAGACATTTGGATGTCTCTTGCTGGGATCAGATGACCCCTGCTGACTTCCTGCCCTTTGGGCAGGGGTCTGGACTTGATCTTCCGAGGTCCCTTCTAGCCCTAATGTCTATGAAATCTATGCACGAGGCAGCTAGGAAGCATGGAAAGCAACTCCTGCAGCTCTGCGCAGGTAAGTCTCTGGAGTGGGGTGGGGGAGGTATAGACAATGTGTTGGGAGGGAAGGGGGGCACATGCCCCACTAAATTTGTGCATCTGCCATAGGCACAGGGCTGCAGCCTAGCTGGACCAGCGAGGACAGGATCTGCCTCCACAGCCCAGAGGGTGAGGGAGGTCAGAGTGTGGTGGTGAGTCTTGTTGCTGCTGCATGTGCCACCAGGATCCCCACACCAACCATGCTGCCAGCAGCTCGAGTAATTGATGCGGGGGACCACGCTGCCCTCACCACTTCCTGCCCAGAGCTGCTCACACGCCAGGCCACAGCTCTACCCCACCACCATGACCTGGCTGCTGCCATTCCTCTCAGGCTACCCGCACTGCCCACCACCCCTTCAAGGTAGAGCCACAGCCTGAGGGGAGTGGTGGTGGCAGTGGTCAGGCGATGGCAGCAGGGTAAAACTGTAGCCTGAGCAGAGCTAGCAGTGGGAAGAGGTGAGGACATCGCAGCCCCCTCTCCCTCATCTTTTACTCCTCATGGTGCTGGCAGCATGGCTGGTGCAGGAGTCCTGGCAGTGGTAACAGCAGCAACGAGTCTTGCTTTCCTGCTCCATCCTCTTGTGCTGGGTTCTACCTGCTGGGCCACGGAGGCAGCTCCTACCCATGCCAAGCTGCAGCCCCATACCCACTGTGGGGCACTGTGACAGGGTGTCATCTTTGGATGCATTTTTTTTTTATAGGCCATTGAGTGGGTACCCATTAAGTCTTGCTGTATTTTCCTTCCCTGGGAATCAGCTTCCCCCCACTTTACTCACCTGCCATGACTTGATGTTACTTGGTTCTTAGAAAGAGGGAGGCTGACCCAAAGGTTCCCAGATAGGCTCACTGCCTGTAGGATGATGAGCTGTTGCCTTAAGGGCAAAATGCACTCTCCTACCTTCCCTTGACATGCCCCATGCCTTGCAAATGTTTTATAATTTTAGCTTTATGTTGGGGTTTCAGCCACTGTGGGCTTACCCCCTCTCTCTCTAGCTAGGCCTGTCAATCAAAACCCACTAAGCAGGGCTTGACTTGGAAGCTCTAGCTCTCTAGCCCACTCAGGCTTGTTTCATACTCTCCATGACACCCAGCCTACTGGCCCTTCTACACTGTGCCCGTGGTGCCAGGCTGTTGGGACCTTAGCCCCCTCTGGGTTTGCCCCCCTTTCTGTAGTTAGGGCTGTTTGCCTATGTCCACCCACTAGGACCTGGCTTCAAGGCTCCTATCTTCCCTTCAAGTGACTCTGGGCTCATGGACCCTAGTGCTGCACCCCTAGTGCAGCAGGACTTCTTGAGCCCTCTATCATGGCACCCCTCAGTGCTAATGAGGCCTCTTCCTCCCCTATAGCCTCAGCTACAAACCACCAGCATTAACATTAAACATAAACCATAGGCCCCTATGGCCATATAATGAAAATAAAAATAAGAGAGGCAAACTGCCCGTTTACATGTGATTGTGCTTCTGTATCACAGTGTGGCACATTCTTCCCAAGGAAGCTGCTGCAGCTGCTCTGTAGTCATCAGGAATCTCCCTCTCTGCTGCCCTGCTGGCCTTCTCCACTTGAGGTTTACATGGTTCTGGCCTTTCCCTTCCTGTCACCTGACCAGCTGGCAGGGCTCAATCCTTAACCCCTGCTCGACTGGACAGATGCACCCAGAAGGTTCTGGATTTAAAGGGTCCGCTCTGTTTCCTGGCAACAGGGCTTGGGTTGCCTGTTAGGCACTAATGTGGGGGGGGCATGTGCCCTATACACACCCACTCCCTGCCCTACACACTGGGGGCTTGGGTCTGGGGTCAGAGGCAGTGGGTCAGGAGTGAGGGGCACCAGCAGGGCTGGGAGGTGGGGAGCTGTGGGTTGGGACTGAGAGGCACCAGCAGGGCCAGGGGTTGTGAGTTGTGAGTGAAGGGCACCGGCAGATCTGGGAAGGGATGGGGGACTATGGGTTGGGACTGAGGGGCACCGGCAGGGCCAGGGGGCTGCAAGTCGGGAGTGAGGGGCACTGGCAATTTGCACTGTGCAAATTGTACAGCGATGAAAGTCATTTGGAAGTAATGGAGGGCCACAAGCTGATATTGCTGTTAATGTTTTCCTGTTGATGTTGAGTTCCATCTTTTAAATTAAGACTGTTCAGTTGCTTTAACTTGTAGTGTGTGATAAGTATCTTGGTGCCCAAATACTTGTGTGTTTTCTACTTAAACTATTTGCTAGGTTGGGACTGGCCATAGCATTGTTTACAAATGGGTCCTGGTACAAAAAAAGTTGAGAACCACTGCTCTATTATGACTATGACCTTAATATACAGTGCATAGCTGGACATGTATTTTTTCTTGTATTATTAATCTACCTAGCACTGTGTATAGACAGTGTTCTTGTAAGGGGAAAATTCTGAAGTTACTAGCTAAGCAAAACTTCCATTAAAGCATATTTCAATTTAGGTTTTAGTTGAATTCTGATGAATGAGGCCCTAAGAACAAAAAGATTCAATAAAAGAAACACAACATAACACTTTACAACCCTGTGACTATAAATCTACTGAAATTACATAGTGACTGCATAATCTAGAATGGTGTATCATGCTAGCTTTAACTTTGTTAAATCCAATCAACAAGGAGAAGAAATAAAAGGAACACTTTAAATCATGCTTCAATACAGTTGTCTTCTAATGGTGGACACTGCATGACTAGTATTCTTGTAAGAATTTCAGGCAATTAAAATTTCATGTTGAAAAAGATATTACGAGGCTGCATTCTTGGTGAATCGGAAACAGGTTCTCCTGTGAAGGCAGTGAAACGATACTCCTGAAGAAGTTCTTGTTTTATTTGTGCTAGCTCAGCCTGTAGTTTTTCCACCTTTTGGTTTAAAAAAAGAGTCAGGAAAAAAATTAGGAAAAAAGCCTAATTTATCTTGCATTAGATCATAAACAGCAAGAAACATTACATAGATGGAATGAACCAGCTTTTTAACTGGGCTTGTAAGCAGCCTCCATTTGTATACATGCAAAGCTACATGCATGCACCTACAACACTTTAAAAATAACTTGTGCGCAAGTGTAGAGGTTGCAACCACAAAACCACATATAGATTGCAGGTGGAAACTCGAACATTTAAATAGGTGCTTGTGTTAGAACAGTTCAAAGGAATACAAACAGGTTTTTCTCCTGCCAACTGTACATGCAGATATGCCTATAGACAATTTTACATGTGCAAAAATAGAGGCTGTCTGCTGAAAATCAACTCTGTTAAGTCAAAAAATAGCTGAGTGGCTCCTGAGTTTAGGGGCAGATTTTTGACTGCACTAATTACATGTATGCCAATAAGCATATCTCTGGATATTTGAACCTCCTATTGATACATTAACTTAGTCCATTCCTAGAATAAGAAAAAGAAGGAGTCATATACATTCACATATATAATTCACTGAATTAGAGTAAAATCTTGAAAATTAATGAAATCCAGGTTAGATTTTATAAGTCTTCATAATTTTTTCAGTTTCTCAAGATAGAATCTTAGTTTTTAACATTTTTGTGCTATTAAGCATGTCTTGAATATTATGAGTTATAATAGAATGGATGGCTTTGTTAAACAGAGTATAATACATTTTTGGTTTTCACAAATTCTAGGACTCTTACAGAGATTATGCTCTTGCTTAACTTATATAAAGTTTATTGTGAAGTACATATACAAGCCTTGGCACCTTGTTGCAAAATTTGAGAGAAGCCTTTAAAAATTTAACTGAAATCCATTAAGGGTTGTCTACATGGAATTGGGGGGGTTAGATGCTGCATAGTAATTGCTACCTGATAGATAGCATGCAGTAGCCATTTCCAAATGGACAGCCAACTTTTACTTAACTGTGGACTTTGCTTCTGAAACATTTCCATCAAATTATGCACTCAACACTGTGGCTGGGTACCCTATGTTCTTTAAGGTTCAACAGTAGCACAAGACATTGGGGGATTCTTCCAACACCATCGGATGGGATTGTCAGGAGTCCCTGTGATTCTGCATCCAGAAGTCAAACTTCCGAAATCCCACAATTCCTTTCTGTCCCTGAGCTGTCTTTTTAGGGGGGAGGGGTGAGGACTGCAGCAGGGGTGGAGGAGGGAAGGTCAGCACCATTTGTAAATGGCACTAGCTGGCCATTATGGACAAAACAGTGCTATGTGTTTTCACATTGGAAATTGGGAATAAAAAACAGTTTATGCAGATGCTTTTGACATGTTGCTGACAGATGGCTGAAGCTCTGAGAGCCAACTGTCATGCTACGGAGCAGCTTGGTTGAGATTCTGGTAGCAGCAACAGCAATCTTGCATGATGCTATACCAGGAGAAGAATCGGAATGAGGACAAGGGCAAGCGCAACTAACAGTTTCTGAAGGAACATTTCTTGGAGCAGTTCCACATTGTCATTTTCAGCAGTGTCATTTTTAGACTCATATAATGTCAGGTAGTGAGAAAGGAATGTTTTGCGTGCCTAGGACACTCACAAGCAGCCACAGAACTTCGGATGACCAAGACTGCTTCCTGTGGGGAGCTTACCCAAAAGTTGCAGCAGCAGCATATCAACATGATAGCTTCCCTGTTCATTCAGAAGTGTGCAGCCACTGCCATCTGGAGGCTCACCATCCCAAACACCTACCCACTAACAGCTAATCAATTTGGTGTGGGCAGATTAGGGATGCTCCAATGGAAGCACATTTGTTATTAAAAAGATGCTTTTGCCTCATATTGTATGGCTTATCAATCCTCAGGATGGGTTTGTATGCACATAAATCCCTAACTGCACAGGGCCAACTAATGGAATTCATATTCCTCTAATGCAAGGCTTCTGATGCAAGGCCTCTATATTCTTAAAGGGGAAAGGGCTTCTACAACATTCTTAAAGGCCAGATTATCAATTGGGGCTGGCTGGTCTGGCAAAAGCCATGATATAGGGATTTTCAGGAACTCATACAGTATTTCTTTAATGATAAAACTAGACTGGCTGCTGTGGCTATTCTATGAACATTAATGGAATTGATTTTCTCCATTACTCTGGAAGACCCTACTTATCCCCCATAACCATGGGGTATGAAGCCTGTCACTGGACCTTTGTAAAAAGAACTGATTAAATTCTAAGTAGCTACAGGCCATTAAGTGTTTGGGAGATTAAAGGGTAGATGAAAAATCACCAATAGGAATTATAGACTACCTTCCTATAATAGGAATTATTATATTCCTATATAATTATATATTCCTATAATAGTCCTATAATTCCTATAATTATTATATTCCTATAATAGGAATTATAGAATACCCTCAATAGGCATCGAGAAATACCTTTCTTGAACTATAACTGTACCCTGTGTGCTGCAAATTACCTGCAATACTGAGACAGCCTTAGAGAGGGTTGAGATCTGAATGGTCAGAGTTCCCTGAATTTTCACACCTCCCAAGCAACAAGGAGACCTAGGACCTTTGTGTAGCTGGACTGGTACAGGGTTCCACCAAGATGCTAGCTATGTTAATTCCAGAAGTGTGTATGGACAGAAAGACTGAATCTGGCTTCACACCAGATTTAAAACAAAAAGTGACATGTTTACCATGATGCCAGAACGGTAGCAGGCACATGGACAAATAATCTGGATGATTTGTGCTGGGTGCAAAGCAGTACGTGAAAGCAGCTATAAGACTGCCAAAATAGCATGCAGTACAGATGTGATCACATGAGCATTAGTATTGCCTAATGTAATAAGATGTAAAACTACTGCTGCTTGAAAGAAGTACAGATTATGCCAGGGATTGGAAACTTACAGGCTGTGGGCCAGATCCAACTCATAGAGCCACTGGATCTGGTGTATGGAGTGGGGACTTCGGCAGCGTTCAGTCCCCAGGGGCTTTGCCTGTGCCCTACTTCGCCATACTGACTATGGCCAAGGAGCTGGGTGCTTCACCCATGCTGTGCTGCAGTTAGGCAGCAGAGAGATGTAGTGGTGGCTGAGTCTTACTGCCAGCCTATCTTCGATCCGAGTTAGGGTATTCTAGCCCAATGCTCTCAAATGTTGCCAAGCCCTGAATTATGCAGTACTAGGTCAGTGGCTACTTACCAAGGAACTGCAATATACAAACAGAGGTCTTTTATGTATATAACTTCATTTAATATGAAATAATCTCCCCAACCCCATGTATGCAAAGGCTTGTAAACCTACTACTACGTCCAGTCAATACCTTGCAATCCCTTACATAAATGAACAAACAAGTCTTGGTTTCTTAAGGCAACAGTGGCCACGTCTACATGAGACGCTGAGTGTGCAGTCATTTAGTACTTGTATAAACTTATTTAAAAGTGTACTAAATGACTACACAGTAACTGAAATTACTGTACAGTAGCATCACTGAATGGCTTTTAGGTGACACTGATTGCGCAGTAGCTCATTACTATTGTGCAGCAGTGTCGTGTCATGCTTCAGGCCACGTTACACTACTGCTCAGTAGTATTGGGGTACTGTGAAGTCAGTGTCTTGTGTAGACACAGCCAGTTGGTAGTTAGTCCAGCACTGACAGCATCATTAATTTGGAGCTGCTGGTTTTTTCATTCACTAAATCAGAGATTTAAAAATAGAATAGCCAAAACCAAGATAAATTTACTTCATGATAAAATAGGCCTCCATTCTACAGGTATTCTAATGTCCGATACTGCCTAACCAAACATGAACGTTTTTTCATTATTAAAACCTGGATTCCATTAATTCTCAGAAAACACTGAAAATTATTTTTTCTGCCAAGTCAGTTCCATAACATTTTTAAAAATGCTTAGACTGGCACCATTTTTCACACTGTTGTACCAAATGGCTGAATTCTACAACTATATTGAGGTTAAGGGGGGCTGGTAGATACTCAACATTTTTGAAAAATCACGCCACATGTTTAGATGCAGACTTAACTCCACATTTTACCTATAAATTTCTAATTCTTAAAATTCTCGCTTTAGTTTTCTACATATATCAACTACCATAGAGCAGCTTGCATAGCACACTGTAGGCTTAAAAAGTAACTTTGGTATCTATTTATTATTTCATTTTTGACATACTGTCTTATCCAAATTTTTGGCTTTTCTTTAAATGAAGATGCAAATGATTGAATTATCCATAGTTTCATAGTTTCATAGTTTTAATGTCGGAAGGGACCTAATAGATCTTCTAGCCCGACCCCCTGCCAGGGCGGGAGAACAACAACAGAACCCTAAACAAAAACGGGACTCAAATGAGTCCAGCCAGGTAGGTATCCAGCCTCTTCTTAAAGATCCCCAGGGTAGGGGCCAGCACCACCTCCCTTGGAAGTTGGTTCCAGCTCCTAGCCGCCCTAACTGTGAAGTAGTTTTTTCGGATGTCCAATCTGTACCTCCTCTCCATCAACTTGTGCCCATTGCTCCTTGTTATGCCAGCGGGGGCTAGGGGAAACAGCATCTCCCCCAAACCCTTCTGGTTCCCCCTAGTGAGTTTATAGACGGTCACCAGGTCCCCCCTCAGCCTTCTCTTGTGGAGGCTGAATAGGTTCAGGTCCCGCAGTCTCTCCCTGTAGGGTCTGCCCTGTTGTCCCCGGATCATGCGGGTGGCCCTCCTCTGGACCCTCTCCATGTTGTCCACATCCCTCCTGAAACGGGGCGCACAGAACTGGACACAATACTCCAGCTGCGGCCTGACCAGCGTCGCATAGAGGGGGAGGATCACCTCCCTGGCTCTACTCGAGATGCACCTGTGGATGCACGATCCAGTATAAGTAACCTTAAGTAACCCAAGTCAAATAAGGAATTTATATTTGTAATACAAATTATTTTTGCCTAAGTTTTTTGAATGAATGAACAAATTAATCAATGACAACATTAACAATATGGCAAATGTATTTCTGAAAGAAAGTTGATATTTACAGTTTCAATGTCTTGTTTTGCTCTCTGCATTACTTCCAAGGGTGTCCCTTCTGAGTTTTTTCTTGTTTTCATCATTTGTATATGCCATTTGATGCACTGTTTCACTTTCTTTTCTCTGGATGCTCTAAATAAACACAATTATTTTCTTTCTTTTTTGTTTACTAGAGCTTCCACTTCCAATACAGTCTAAAGCACCTGTTGCATTTTAACATATAAAAACAAAGAAGAGTAGAACAAAACCCAAAACTGATTTTCTTTGCATATGGGTAACCTGTCTCTAAGACTGTGGTGAATGTTTTTCGATCATCTTTAATTACAGAAAAAGGACTTGCAGGACTGAAGTTGACTACAAGTCAACAGTCTGCTTGTCACAGGGCACCTCCGTGCTCCTGCTCCTAGAGAGGAGAAACTGCCAGGGAGAGAACCCTGGCAGGACACTAATGAGCACAGCTGTGGGTTGCCAGGGCAATTAAGGAGAGCCAGCTGCCTGGAGGAGGCAGGGCCTGGCCCTTATAAAGCCCAGGGCTGAGGCCAGGCTAGCAGTTCCCTGCCAGCAGCCACAGGGGCAGGAGCTCCTGCAGTTAGGATGGGAGGAAAAGCCTAACAGCAAGTATAGCTTGCGAGAGCTCCAGAGGCTGGAGCAATGATATTGAGTTACAGACAGGAGGCTTATGTTGTTATGGCCCAGTGCCTTATGTTTGAGTTATAGCCAGGAGGCTCGAGTTTATGTTCTGCTTTGATATTATACCGGTGGTTTGGGTGAGGCTATAAGGGGTTGGAGGAGGCCTCATAGGGACCCCCAGAGGAGTGGGGGGGCCCCGCGGGCGCAGTGTAGTCATAGGGACCCACAGAGGGTGGGACCCTAGCGCCAGAGAGGGCGCAGTATTCGCAGGGGGAACCCCAGTGGTATGAGAACCCTGGCGCCAGTGAAGGCGCCGCGCCAGTGAAGGCGCAACTTGTGGGGTACGTGGACCCCAGCCCCAGAGAGGGGCAGCTTTGAGAAGCCCCAGCACGGGCACGACGAGCCCCAGAGGGGGGGCACTAGAGAGGGCGCAGTATTTGCAGGGGAAACCCCAGTGGTATGGGAACGCTGGCGCCAGTGAAGGCGTAACTTGCGGGGTACATGGATCCCAGCCCCAGAGAAGGGCAGCTTTGAGAAGCCCCAGCACGGGCACGACAAGCCCCGGGGGGGGGCAGTGTTATTAGGAAGCCCAGTAGGGGCACAGCAAGCCCCAGAGAGGGGGCGATATTATTAGGAAGCCCAGTGCAGGCACAGTGAGCCTCTGAAGAAAGGCTAGTGTTGCGATAAACCCTGGAGCAGGGTAGAGTGCTGTGGTTGCTCCTGGCGAGACAGGGTAGTGGCATGGCAAGCCCTGGGAGAAAGGGGGCAGCAGTGTGGTGGGCCCGAGAGTCGGGGGGTGTCACCGAGAAGTTCCCAGAGTGGGCGCAGAGAGCCCCAGACGGG